CGGACCAGTAAATATGACACTATTTCCCGGTCTGTAGTAAATCCCGGTCAGAATAGGCCGGGAGACCGGAAATGACCGGACTGGAGAATAGTATATCCCGCGAAAGGGGGCAGGTGTATTCCGCGGAAAATTTCGCTAAAACCCGGAAAAGATAAAATCGTCTGCTATATCATGATGATTGTGTACATGTTTTTTTATACAAAATCCAATTTTTCAAGATCACAAAAAATCTTAAAGCATAACCATTATTTACAGTTTTTATTTTATCTTAAGTTATTGAAATTAAAATATCATTCTTTAGTTAGATACTTTGTATTGATATAATTATTATCTCTCGTTTTTGTCAATTAATGTAAAATTAAAAAGAAACAAAAAAACGTTAATTTCAAGATTTTCCAAAAATCTTTTTTATATTATGCTTTACAATTGGATATAGAACTATTTTATCTGGGACATTAAAAAAACCTCATTACTGTCCCACATTTTGAATTTTCTACCTCTAAACGCTGACCAATAGTGGATTATACAAAGAATCTTCCAATTTCATCCGTTATCTACGCATATGTCTTATATTATTTGTGCGTTCTGTTGTTGAGATATACGTGTATGACAGATGATAACGATTTCATATGTCTTATTTATTTCGTTTAAAACATGAACAGGGTTAACATATATAAAATCAAGTAAATGTAACAACAAGTTGTGAAACTCGCAAGCATACGGGGTTCGGTTCGACCATTGACAACATATATACAATAAATAACGACACAAAGGGCTGTCGTCGATAATCAGACTGAAAGTTTTTTGGAAAATGACAAATTTATGCAAAACGTGAATAACATATAATATGAAATAACTACAACATTCTATTAAAGACACACAGCTGTGGGCTTTTGTTCATACCAAAAAATATATACAGCAGTTAAAGCAGAATGATTGAACTAAAATATATAAGTTTCTACATTTGACTGATTATAATTTTATTGGAAGCTCAGATTTCTGTAATATGTAAAACTTGATTTTGTATGTACCTGTAAAATTTTTGCGTTCATCAAGATTTAATACATAGAGGATATTCTATTTATTTTCTATAAATACAGGATTTATTTTCATTGAGTGGTATGAAAATAAATTTAATGAGTTGCAATAGCCACGAATGAAGCATAATAATTTTCTTATCACAAGATGAAAATAAATCCTGTATTTATAGAAAAAAAACTTGAATTTTCTGTTTATAATAAACATTACATCTGAAAGACTTCCACTTTAATTTTATGTATTAGCTAAATGTAGAAGAAAGTAGTCCGGCAAGACAACTGTGAAATGACGGAAAATATGTATCACTTCAGTGAAGAATAAATTTTTACAGTGAAACTACGGAAAAAGTAAGAATGTGCATTTGTTTATCAAAGTTTCTTTTATAAGCATCTTATAAATACTAATGCTTTAAAAAATGTGGAAATTATTTAGAATTTTGTCTTAAAATCTCTTAAATTACATCTACAGTACCAAATACAACTTCGGCACAACCATTTCTGTCCGCTAACTGTTTCAACATAATTTACACATCTCCTGTGATACCATTTGACTTTACAGAATTTGTTACCACATTTAACTTGGTCACCAACAATTTAAGATAATTTGCAAGTACAGAATAAGTACATAAATAACAGTCTTAAATTAAATAGAATTTACTAAAATCCAATCAACATAGCACACACCTCTTATCAACATAAGAATATCAGTGATGTACAAGTAATGTTAATTAGTCAATGACTATACACTGTAAATTTTGGGAACACTACACGTGTTTTACCAGTGTTTCAAACAAAAACACTGACGTTTTCATATAAAATGCTTATGTTTTGTATACGTTTCAGTGAAAACACATATGTTTTATTCATGTTTTCCGCTCGATGCCCAGAAAACGGTGGTGTTTTCACAGGACAACCTATAATATATAATTAAATAATTTTACATTATTGAATGAGTTGAAGTCACGCAAGTGTTGTGAATAGGCCACATGTAAAAAAATAATACGACAAAAACATCATTTGTGTCGGAAAATTCGTATATACTTGTCATCCGGAAATCTGAAAACACGTGTTTCGGCCGAAAACACGTGTTTCGGCCGAAAACACTAAGGTTTAATCTGACAGCGGTTACTTCCCCTTAGCACAAAAAACATGAATTGATTAATTTTTTTTTATAATTAGAATTATTTTTGTTCAATCCCCATATTAAAATATCTATATCCAGAAACAAATTATGATGAATTCAATTACATAAATATTTTATAATAAATAAATTCGAATCATAGCAGCCAGATGCTTGCGTGTAAAGAGTACGCTTTGATTGATATCTCCGTAAAGCGCCTGGCGATGTAGCACATTGTAGATCAGACGACAAAGACCGCCAGAAATTGTTTATCTCATTTTTGTTGTTTCTTCCATAACAGATATGTACAACAGTTGCTTAAACAGATTTGTTAATATTTTTAACGTTTTTACAGGTGAATGGTTAGGTTTTATGTACTATATAGTCCATTTTCGCTTCGATAGACGAATTGAAACAGGTGGGTGGGGAATGCTGTTTAGCCCGGGGTTCTATGATATCACGGTACTTAAAATTTATCGGAAAATATTTAAACATAAATATTATAAATGAATGAGATTTTTCTTCAATTTTATAAGTGAACCTTTTCCACAACTGTTTGTCAAAAAATTATTTCAAAAGAACCAATAAAAATGACATTTTTTAATCTATTTCAAATGTCTGCCATGTCTGGTAATTTCAGAGGAGGTTACTACGGTATCAAGGTAATCCCCAAAATTGCAAGTATTAAAGGATAGATGGGTCAAAACTTTCAAGTTAAGTTGTGAAAAACTTCCAACAGTTAACTTGCTATAAAATTAAAACTATATGAACATACTATATGTCAGTATATGTGATTAAAACATATTTTAATTGACTGTGTAAAAACCATTAAGGAAAATGGTTGTCAAATATGAAGGTTTTATAAAATAATTTTCTTGCCACGAATACATTCATTATTCACCAAAATAAATTTATTGGCAAATAATAATTAATCTAGTGTGCAAGCTTTACAAATATTAGCACCATCATGTGTTGTTTTTACTAGCAGTCACAGAAAATTTCAATACCTTGATATCATAGAACCCTTGATATCATAGGAACCGAGTATACGTTACGTGATTAGATTGGTCAGTTATTTCTGTTTGTGCAAAAATTACTAAAACTATTGGTGTTCTTTTTCACGGATTTGTATTCAAATCACTTTGGGGTAGTTTTAAGTTGTATCGTTTGTTTCCTTGTTAAGGATTAAAATAATTTAAATTTGTCTTTCAACTGGTCCACCAGGCAGGAGTATTTCTGTCCACACACACTTTCTAACAACAAATTGAAGTAAAATCTTATTTACATCTAGTGATGTAGGAAATGGCGCATGATGTCCAATGATCAGCTATGGGATTGACTATATGTTTATTCCTGTCTGATAATGCAGGTATATAAATTAACACTTTTTACCTAGGGGCCCAGACTATTTTACATAAGTTATTTAGGCATTTCTTCTAGAAAGCTGGGGCCCTACCCAAAAGTTAGGACCATTGCGACTGGATCCCTGTTATTTTATATCCCTGTAATGGAAGCACGATGGGCTTACTAACAAAGTTTGCACTCTTTACCCTATGCTACGACCGGATGTAAACAATACGTTCGCACAGGGCATGCGCGATTATTAAATCCACCCATTTTATTTGATTAAATTCTAGAACAACCTCTACTTTCAGTTTCAATTTTGCTGACAAGGAACAGTTTGAGTCAACGTAAGTGTTAATTTTAATAGCAATGTCCAAAACTTTTGCACTACACGGCGTAATTTTCATTACATATGCGGTATTATTACCGCATGGTATTTTTTTCCAGTCGGTCAAAATGACGGTACACATTTACATGTAACAAACATATTTAACTTCTCAGACAATTTAAATAAGGAATGGACACACGGTTAACTCTGTTGCAATCGTAAAGTATATTTCATAAACCTACTGTTTGTGAAAAATTGTCTCCGTGTTCAAATAAATTTCAAAAACGGGGAAAAAAAGCAGTCTTTTTACCGATACCCCCTGCAACTGAACCTTATTATTCTGACAAATTAAATTGACTTTATAACGCTCGTATACAATTATTTATTGATCGATTTTCATTATATTTATTTTGTAATACCTATCATTCAATATGCAATCACACAAAACCAAGTTTTCCTACATTCAATGAAATTGTAAGTTAGGACGAGCTTTCAAAACGAACAGATAGCAATTTCCAACACTCTTACCGAACTCCAACATGGCGGCTCAACCTGGCTCATTTGCATAATTATTCATAAATGCAGGAGCATAGAACTTTCAGTTTGTTAGTGGGGCAGGTATTAATAATTGTCATTTAACAGTAACTGTATAAACCTTTTGATTGAAATTTCCTATAAACCCCCCCCCCCTAAATTTCTTTATTTTCAATATTTTATAAAACTTTAGAATGAAAAGACAAATAAACATATATAGTTCTATATTATTATCACACATTTATAATAAATGTTCCTTTGTAAGGGTGCAACTATTCAGCTTTCTCTGGATTTGATTCTTAATTCCATTTAAATTTCGATTTGATTATTGAGGCTAAGTTAACATTAATTTTATATAGGGAATACTTTAAAAATATTTTTAACTACACTTAAACTTTATTTAGGACAGCAAAGAAAAAACATACTGAATAAAACTTTTAAACAACATAGCTAGAAAACAGAAACATATCATGTTACATTCAACGTGTTTTGATTTGGATAAGCAAGAACACGTTGTCAAGTAAAGAAACACTTATATTGTATATAATATTCAAATATAAAACATTCAAATTAATATCAGAAAGTCAAAGTGTTTTTTCCCCTACTTTGAGAATGGTGCTGGTACAATTAACGGTACCGGACAGATTGGGAAAAAAATCCATCGGTTTGACTTAAATTGGGAATTTTATTTTAGATGCAAAATATTTATTGGGAATTTCTTTTATCCAGGGAGGTGATGAAAATTTTGCATAATTATACACTTTAAAATCATGTATTATTAACTTTAAAGATTATTTTTTGCTGCTTGAGGTTGAAAAAAAATGATAATCATAACAATTGGACATAAATAATGTTTAGTAGGTGTGAAACATAAAGGGGAGCGGTGGCCTAGTTGTTAAGGTGTCTGCCTCTCAACCCAGAGATCATGGGTTCGAGCCCTACACGGGTCACGACCATGTTTCTTCATATGACACCAGTACTGGTTGGTTCCAGGAAGCGGACTCGAAAGTGATTGATATAAGTTGCAAGAACTTGTTTCGCAATCGAGCTAAAATAAATATGTTTAAAACCTTAAACATAAAGTACGAAATGAACTGGGTACGAATATCACTCATGTGGTTTTACTTGGTTTTTATCGTATATCACTTATCAATACGGAAGGCTCCGAGGCATGCATTACTGTTGTTAGAGGTAATTTTCAGTGTTAAATTTGGAATTTATCAGTCATGAATTGGAAAATTTGCTGTCTATTTTCTATTGGGAACGGTGTCGTTTTCCGGTATCAGTTATATAAGGAAAAATACTGGGTTGTTGTTAAGATTTTAGTCATTGACTAGATTTCTACCAGAATTTTTTTGTTTTTATTCTTCTTGTGCAAGTTGTGGTTATAGAGTGTGATGAACATATTGACTCTTACTTTGTAAAACGCTTAGATACAAAGACAGTTGCTAAAAATATCAAGATCTCAAGTTTGTTTTGCCCCTGTCTTGCATATCTGTAATGGAAGAACAGTTATTATGGATAAATACAGGTACTTCAATAAAATGTAATTTTGTGTACTGTCAGATCTACATGTTACGCTACAAGTTTCTTCTCATAATTGCATTTTTAACAACTAGTATGGCTAATGAGTACAAAATTTTGGAGGTGTTACACTACAAGGCAGAAGAGAATATCTGTCCTTGCAAGCAGTCTTGAAGACCTTCTGAATAAAGGTAAGTATTTTTAACACACTACAGCACAATTACAACACAGTGTTAGGTTGTGTGCTCAAAAGAGGAATCTTCAGAATTATTTAGAATATAAAGCCTTGTCATAAGAAAATCTGTACAGGTGTGACTATTGTACAGCCACAGTTGTTGGCGTAAAACACTTTGTGAAAGTCTGATGATCCAGATGCCAAGTAAAACCGTTAATATGAATAGAAAAAAATAGACATTTCACAGTATCATAGCTTTATTTACATTTGAATTGATTTTTAAAAAAAAAGAAATGTGATTCTACCTTTCTGTGTTTAATTTTTACTACATTTGCAAATTCAATAAATTATCATCATGTAAGTATTACCTAATTGCAATAACTATTGTCCTCCACTTTGATTTTCACAAACATTTAACATGGTGAACCCTAATGTTAATCATATTATTCACAAAATTTTAGCCTTGCAAAAATATCTGATTTCACAGTATAAAGAAAATTCAAACAAGTAGACTCAAAACACAAACTTTCACAAAATATAATAATCATGTTAACAGTAAAACAAACCCTACTTGATGATATTATTTAGAATGGAACAGTTGTCAAAATTTAATTTGAGTTCTATATATGCTGCTGAGATCCATTTGTGATGGCAGAAATCATATTCATGAATATAACTACAGATCTCATCTATATAATATTTGATAGCTACAATACATAATTGTTATGTTAGAATGACTGTCTTAAATGTTTTACAGAAAAGATCTGTAGTTTGATAAATAATTCAAACAGTTTGATACTTCGATCTAGTTGGTATTGATGACTATTTCTCAGAAACACTAACTCAAGTTTTATTCATATTTTAGCTGGTGACAAGCAACAGTTGCAAGGAGTAAGTTTGATTGTTGTGCTGGAAAAAGATGTGACAGAAATGGAAGAAACGCCATCCTTGACATATTCAAAACTAAGTATTGATGCTTCTAGAAGACCAACAATTATGAGAATCAGATGTTCCAAAAGACACTGTTGTAATGTTTGGGCAGACACCAAGATGCCAACATGTCAAAGACTGAGACACACAACTGAGTCCACAACTGTTACCACAGCGTACAGAAATTGTAACACCATTTGTAAGTTGCGTGAAATAAATATAGATTTGAAACTTTTCTGTCTTTTCAGTTGATATTAAATCTATTATATAGTATAAAATATTTTTGGCAAAAAATGCCCTGCAATATAACTGAAATACTATTGAAAAGGTGTTTAAACTCCAACAATATTTCTGAGACGGAACAATAAAGCTATAACAAACTTAATTTGACATTGGGAAAGCAATATTGTATATAAAGAATCTTAAATGAGTTGTTCATATAATACATGGAACCATTGATTTTTATATGAGCAGGGGCATGACCTTTAATTTAATGTATGTCAGAAAACCTGGTCATGCCCATCCACCCCTTTTTCCAATCAATTTAATGGCGTTCAATGGTTACCCCAAGTCCTTAAACTTCATTGAGTGGATAGCCAGGACCAACCATGCAGGCATCTAGTCGGTTTGAGTCCTTGATGGATGTACATCCTTACTGCAGGTTTATCATGCCATGGCTTAAATAATTTCAAAGATTAATATGTTGTACTAAAATTACAAAATCATTTTATCAATATGCATATTTACATGTCACATTATAAGTCTTTATAATGAGGTTCTTTCTAGCAAGTCCTTTGGATATAATAAAGTTCAAAGATAATTCCTAAAATGTGTAGACTATAAGTATGTATAAAAATAACCATGAATGGTTATTATTGTAATATTTACAGTATTGTTTGGATGTATAATCATAAATGCGACGTTTAAACTAACATGAGGTTGGTATTGACCCCAACAACATGTTACATATTTGTTGCTGAACAGAACTTTTTCCTGAATGTGGAGGAAAATACACTAAAAAAATTAACTAAGAAAAAAAAAAAGAAATAGTTTATAAATTACATCATATATGAGCATACACAAATGGCTGTTAATTATGTCATCAATTGCATATTAAACATTAATGGTTATAAAAATATTTGGAAAGTGAAATTTAAAGGCAGGTGATCTACGCTGTTTTGCTACATTTCCTTGTTAATTGTCATATGATTATCAAATAAGCTAATTATAATTATTGTTTTTCTTTTTTTTTTCAGATGTTTTTGGAAATTAAATTAATTCTTGCAGTAGGCCACATCCAACCATTTATTGACAATCTAGAGATATTGTTTGAAGCAGTAGCTACACTTAAACCTGGAGGAAAAGAGGTATGAGTTAAGATTACTGTTAGGGCAGGCAACCTTATGGAAAAAGATATCATTGCAATCTTACTATGCATACAGCACAGCCTTGTTATAATGCGGCTTAAGATATAATAATGTTTAAAAGAGGGTAAAAATTGTATTCACAAAAGGTATAGAATAGAAAGAAAAATTCCATATTTTTTTAAATATATAATAAATACTTTTTTGTTTGATATAATGTGGTTAACTAACATGGTCTATATAAAGGATTCAACTACCATGTTATAACAAGGTTTGTGTTGAACCTAGGAACCCAGTCAGAAGTTAATTATGCTTCTGACCTGTACATTAATCAGATAGTTCTGACAATGATTATTTGTTGTTGTTTTTTTTAGTTTTTTAATTTTTAGATATTAATATTGATTTTTAATATTCAAATATGTAATTTTTAATTTAACCCATTACTTCATATACACGGCGCCTTTTAACGCCTTTTTTCACCCCCCCCCTTTTTGTTGTCTCAAATGATGAAAAAATGCCTTATTTAGGCCCAAACACTTGTTTTTGTTTGAGAAATGTTGTTAAAAAAGGTGACCTCTTTTCGGCGCGGCCCCCAACCAAAAGATACATCAGGGGTTGCCAGAAGGGGGATGTGCCCCCTTCTGTTTGGGGGGTTTGAAGGGGGGCGGAGTCCCCCTCATCGCCAAGAAAATTTTGGACTTGTGAAAGGCTGTAAATGACCCCCAGATTGATCATAAGGTAACGTGTAACCAACGCTGAAAAGCATTTGACTCTATCTCAATCCATTGAGAAGTTGCAGCACTTTGAAATCAATTTTGATGGAAAAAATCAACGCAAAATAGTGATTTTTGGCAATTTTTGAGATGTCCCCTCGTTGCCAGGGTAACAGGAAATTTAAGGCTGAGCATGATGTTACAAAGGCAATGGTCCAGTCAACATTTGTGCCAAGTTTAATTAGTATTGAAGCAGTTTTTATAGTATTATAGCAATTTGAACTTGTAACGGGAGACTTTTCAATGAAAACAGCCATTTTTCACAAAAAGCTCATGAAGCAATGGGTTAATGAAAAAATAAAAAAAAATCTACAAAACAACCATTTTTCATCAAATTTATATGACAGGCCATGTTTAAACATGAAAAAACGCGATTTAGGGTAATTTCAAGTATTTTCATCATTTTCTGTTAACCATTACTTCATATACACGCCTTTTAACGCCTTTTTCACCCCCCCCCTTTTTGTTGTCTCAAATGATGAAAAAATGCCTTATTTAGGCCCCAAACACTTGTTTTTGTTTGAGAAATGTTGTTAAAAAAAGTGACCTCTTTTTCGGCGCGGCCCCCAACAAAAGATACATCAGGGGGTTGCCAGAAGGGGATGTGCCCCCTTCTGTTTGGGGGGTTTGAAGGGGGGCGGAGTCCCCCTCATCGCCAAGAAAATTTTGGACTTGTGAAAGGCTGTAAATGACCCAGATTGATCATAAGGTAACGTGTAACCAACGCTGAAAAGCATTTGACTCTATCTCAATCCATTGAGAAGTTGCAGCACTTTGAAATCAATTTTGATGGAAAAAATCAACGCAAAATAGTGATTTTTGGCAATTTTGAGATGTCCCCTCGTTGCCATGGTAACAGAAAATTTAAGCCTGAGCATGTTGTTGCAAGGGCAATGGTCCAGTCAACATTTGTGCCAAGTTTGATTAGTGTTGAAGCAGTTTTTATAGTATTATAGCAATTTGAACTTGTAACGGGAGACTTTTCAATGAAAACAGCCATTTTTCACAAAAAGCTCATGAAGCAATGGGTTAAATGTGCTTTGAAATACATTGTCTGACTGGACTTAAAAAAATTGCGACTTTATCCTGAGATATATTGCAGGAAATCCAACATGGCATAATCTTGTTTTGTGGCTGATGTTTGTTTTTACAGTGCTTTTGTCACTTTTAATGCAAATATGGTTAAAATTGTTAAAAATTGTGTTCATTTTGTCATATTGAAAGCTGTGTTTAGGATCTGATTGTGTGCGTTTCTGTTTACTTAGAATTACTGATTTCTGTTGCAGTGCAAAGATGATTTGGACGTTATAAGAGCCATAGAAAGTAATACAGGATTCAAACATGGAAAGGGGTGCAAGACTAGATAAATTGTAGTTCTACATAAGGTATAGTAAATTTACTGGAATTTTTTTTTGTCAGTTTTGTATAATACCACTGAATTTAATTTTAACTTGAATACTTGCAGCCGCTAATCATGACAAGACACATTTGTAACTGACAAGGGACAACATTCTGAAATTTATTAAATGAATTAATATCAAAACTATCAAAGGTATCAGCACAATTAAGACTTTGATAAATTCATTTTATATTTGCTTTACATTACAAGACACACTGTTCAGACAAGGGGAGTTATTCTTAAAACTATATTTTGGAGTTATGCCCCTTTTCAACTTACAATTTTGTCAAAATAGCATATTAAATGGATTGACTTGTAAACTTATTTTAAGTATATGATAAGTATCTCTATAGATAGGCCTCTTTGACAAACATGGTATCTCATTTTTTGCCTGTCTTGTCACTATATAAATAGACGAATGTTGGCCCTGCTCAGCATGGCATGGCAGAAGATCGAATTTCTGACCTACTGCTCCAGAAGCAGACATTAACTAACACTTTATTATGTGCTGGTTGGAAATGCTTAAGGTAGAAGATTTCCCTGATCCTGTTATGAAGGATGGTACTCATTCATTGTTTTGTTCCATGTTCATTTTGCAGGATATTGAAGAAGCTAATCTGTCAAAGGTCCTGTCATCACAGCCTAATACTCCTCCAAGTGAAGCCTTGTTTTTATTTTTAACAACATAGAACTGGACAAACAGTATATTGTTGGAGACCAGTGCAAGATACCACTTGAGACAGATAGCCTCATGGAAGGCTATTCTTATTGATAAGCTGGTATTATATAATGAATCTTGAAAATCCCACTGCTTTTCACAACTCCTTGGATTCATGCAACAAACAGTATTTAAACAAGCCTTTCTTAGTCACAAGTCGGCTGGGTATTTACACTTTGTGGAAAAATTGGAAAAACTAATGAACAAATAGAACCAACATTTTAAATTAAATTCAACCTTCTGAGTCATGGACATATTATTGACTTCTTAACAGCTTACATTTTACCATGAAAAAAACTGCTTTTTTGCACTTACAAAAATAAAGGTGCAGAATAGCTGTGTGGTAACCATATGATCAGCTGATCAGTGCCTTTATTTTTGCTGCATAGATGGTGCAATCCCTCCCCTTCCAGGCTTCCTTAATCAGACATTTAAATCCTCTTGATGTCTGAACATGAAGCTGTATATTTTGGTTCTATTTGAAATAGCAAATGTCAAGTGTCAATATTTTTCAAAACAGCTAAGACTATGCTTCTTTTTAGGAACTTTTAAATCCAGTGATTTATCAAATTATTATTCACTAGCAGAAAAGATTGACTTAATAATGCAGTGTTTAAACACTAATTTTATTATTTATGACATCAGTATGTTATTGCAGACTGTGACATTTTTATGTCAATGAAGCATTAAAATGCCATATATTATAAATTGTTTATTACAGTTAAGAAGTATTAGTGCTATTTGTTGTTTGCAAATGTTAATATGCTCTTATTTTGTACATGCTATGTAGTAAGTTTAATATATTGCATTGATGTCTTAAATAAGTTTGTATTTTGTTGATGTATTACTGTCTAACTTTAACACATGCTCACTTCATTATCATATCAGATTTATTAAATTTTTATTTACTGATTTCAAGTGATAAGCAGAATTATTTACAGAGATCACTAGTTTTCACTGATCAGGCACCTTTGTTGTGCATTTAAATTTTTGGTGTTTTCGGAGTCAAAGAAATGATTGATCAAAATATTGTATAAAGTTGCATTGTAACATTTTAGAGTGCTAAAGTGTACCATTTTTTTTGTCTAAGCCTTAAGCGCACCACAACAAAAGATATTTATGAACCATCAGGATATATACTGTTACTGATGAAAAATAGAGCACTAGTGCACAGACTTTTGACTCCCCCCCCCCCGGACAGTCAACATTGAATGACCGATTTTTGACACTGTCTGAAAATACTGTTTGTTTTTTTTCCAACCCAAATATGATACATATATGTGCCAAAAACCTTGTTTTTTACATTTTACAGGGAGGTAGACTTTACTGTGTAAAAATTTAAATCCATTTTATACATGTTTTCATTTTACCTGAAATTCTACTGATATCCATATATCAATTTGCTTTTGTTGTTTAATTGTCTATTTATTTACTTAATTGTTTGCCTAAATATAACTGTAATCTGTTTTATGTATTTATTTTATACATTCATTTTTAATCCCCTTCTGCATAGAGGGGAGGGGATTACAGGAATGGCCTCAGTCTGTCTTCCATGTCCACTCCATAACTTTTTTAAACTGTGAAAATTGTTTGAAATAACTTGGCACAAATGGTCAGTATGAGACGATGTGCAGAGCGCAATAATCGGGTCGCTACCCCTAAGGTCACAACTTAAGGTCATAGGTTAAAAAGTCTACCTTTTGTGTCCGCTCCATAACTTCAACTGATGAAAAGTTTTTAACATAACTTGGCACAAATGATCACCTTTATATCATGATGAGCAAAACACAACAACAAGGTCACTACCTCCAAGGTCAAGGTCACACTTAAAAGTCAAATGTTAATGGTCCACTTTTTGTGTCCCCTAAATAACTTAATCTGCTGAAAAGTTTTTGAAATAACTTGGTACAAATGATCACCATTATAATAGGATGTGCAGAGCGCAACAATCAGGTCACTGCCCCAAAAGTCACAGGTAGAGGTCAAATATTCTTGTTTATAACTTTTTGACATGGAAGATTTTAAATATTTTAGCATAAATAATCACGACCATGGCACAACAGCCAGGTTTTTCTCTAAAAGACATGGTTTGTTAAAGATCAAGAAGTACAGATTCCTGTCCACTGCGAAGGGGATATATAGATGTCCTTCAGACTGCCTTGTTTTTAATTGTTTGAAGTTTGAAAATGAAAATGCTCTTTTTAATTTTGTGATTGGTAACACCAGAATTTCGGGTATATTGCATTGGATTGTAACATGGCTGACAAGGTGACAGTAAAATTGCCACCTGTAGAAAATGCTACCTCAGTTGACAGCGTTTTTCAAAAGTTGTTAACTTTACTGTCACTCTGTCAGGCATGCAATATTAATTTTAGTCTACCAAAAATACTATTATGATAATGGTAGGGTGTCTTGATCTATTTAACATTTATGTGCAGTAATGAAGAACAATTAGTATTTAACCTAAATTTCAAAATGTTATTAAAATGTGTATAATATGTTTATGTGTCATTGTTCACATTTTTTGGTTGATCGTGTTTTGAAATAAAACATGGAAACTATTAAAACGTGTAAACGTGTTTTAAATCTGTTACAGTCCCAAAACACGTGTTAGGTGTTTTCAGACAAAACACCTAAACACGTTTTCTAGGAATACACCCGTGTTTTAGTGTGAAACATCAGTGTTTTGTGAAAACACCGCAACATGTTTTAAAACTGTTACAGATAGGTGTTTTCACATGTGTTTGGAATCAAAACACTGAGATTTAGAGTGTACACGTTATATTAAATAAGCACTTATTTATAGGGCCACACAATAGTCTAATTAACATAATTTCACCCCACCATATGCGTGTCAGAAGTCAACATGACAGTGTGCAAATCGGCATGCACGTGTGCATTGATATAAAATTGATAAAGCGCCCTGTTATTTGTCAAAACATGGAAATATAATTATTAAAATGACTTTCTGTTTAAAAAAAATAACTGAATTAAGATTTGGAATTGGAATAAAAATTGATCTGCAGCACACAATTTTTTCTGGACTTCCTATATAGAAATGCATAGTCATCAGACATTCCGCTGACTTGGACGTTGTTTTAATTAAATATATATATATTTCAGAATGGGGAATCGCAGTAGTGTAGTATAAGAATACGTCTTTCAGGTTCGTACCTTTATTGTAATATACAAACATACAGGATGTGACGTCTAAATAGCGGTAGACGTCACGTGCATAAGAGCGCTAAAGATCATATCTTGACAACTTATGGTACGTTGTTTTTGTTGAAATCTAAATATATTTCAGAATGGGGAAAAATAAAGCACGATATACACGTATGGCGCCACATAGCCTTATAACGGCTTTGGGTATTCTATCTTTAAATACAATGGGTTTTTTTCTGTTTGAATTAAACCAATATTAGACATAATATAGATCAACAATTTTTGACCATATATATATGGTTTTATACAATTTTTCTGTATTAGAAAAAAATTGTTTTACCTATCGTTGATCCATATTAAATTTTATATTTATATACGCTTTAAAATTGTCACGTTTTCGTTACCGCTTGAACAATAACTTTTGTATGTTGTTCAACTTCAATTCGTATCAAAGTCGAATCAAGTAGAATGTGTTGTTTTGATTTTTGTGTTATTAACATGTTTTTTCTCCAATTCAAGATTCAATGACGTTCTTATTCTTTTAAGGGACTCCACTGAGGTTTGAAAGCCATAAACATTACATTTGAGTTTCTTACATAAATGAGCTGGGGCACTTTAAACAGAAATATATGCAAAGATAGATAAGGAAAATACTTTGAAATAAATTGAAAATCGTATTTTAATGCTTTTCTTAGCCCGATTTGAGTGAAAAGCGTTTAAACGCTTTTCATTTTGGGTCATTTTTTTACAATTTGAATTATTATTCTGGAAAAACAAAGTGCGCGAATGATATGAAATTTTGCACAAAGATAAGTGGTCTAAACCTTCATCAAATGGTACATTTATCTGGAAAAATTATTTTTATGTCCCATCATGTCAAAAAACCTCAGTGGAGTCCCTTTAAGTAAATTCAACGAATCGGTAACTTATGACCAATACTTCCTTTTTGTATAAATTTTCTTATTCTGTTACGATAAGGAAAACTTAAAGCGAACAGCATGGATCAAGATCAGACTGCGCGGATGAGCAGGCTGGTCTGGATCCATGCCGGTCGTAAACATACTATGTTAGTTTTGTCGTGACGCGGCTCATATAAATTTTTTTCTAGAATTTTGAATCTTTATACTTTGACTAAAATCTTAGTACATTTTTCTCAAGCTTAATTTTATCGAAATATTTTCGCTCATCTGGATGCGTGCAGCTTTAAAACATTATAATTATGTTGTTTACAATTTGTTACTTTTATAATTATATTTTTCATTAGGTGAGGGGCACGTAAAGTGATCAGAAGCGCATGCTTGTGTGTTATGAAGCTCATTACTCCTGCGTTTTTATGTTTCATGCCAACCTACATTTTCTTATATATATATGTGGTCTTTTTCTTTACTCTTTTTTATATACTTGCATGCTTGGGAGACTGTTGAATAATAAACCAAGTGAAATGTATGTTTTAAACCAATTAATATTCGTGGATTTTGCTGAATTTAGGATGTGAGAAAAGGTGCAATATGACTTTGCTGTGACATGTCTAAGCGTATCTGTAGAAAAAGTTTTAAAAAACTTGACTTAATAATTATGAATAAATTATGAATTCATGATGTTCTAAATTTTGCCCGAGGATTTTGCACGAAATTCACGAGCCGCCACCACCCACGCTTTAATATTTGAGGTATACTGTGCTACAAAAATAACGTTACTGATGACCAGTACACCAATATTGAAAATAAATCAAGAAAGAGAGACCTATCCTCCCAAGAAATTGAAGTGGATTCGAAATTGCAAACAGTTTGTTCACCACAAACTCCTATCATGGAGTGTACTACTGCAAATATATCCCTAGACCAGGATGCAATAAATGCTGTAGCTGCCGCGCTGTCTGACACAATCCAAGCTAACATTAAAAGTACTATGGAGGCAACAATAACAAAAATCGTTGATGGGATAGTCACTGGGTAACAATCACGTATAATACATATTGAAAATGAATAATGACAATATTGATCAGGAGAACCGTATTACCGAACTAGAGAGACAACATGACGCAGATGATCAGTAATCGAAACGCAACTTTTTGCGCATCTCTGGTATTTCTAAAAAGCCTCATGAATCTATAGATATAGTAGTTATGGACCTATGCGATGCCCTTAAAGCAAACATAACGCTGTCTGAGATTGATAGATGCCAAAGAACGGGCAAACAAAAAGTTAACGGGCCAAGAGATATTCTTGTAAAATTTGCCACATATCGTGCTCGACAAAAGCTGTATACCAAACGAACAAACCTTAGACACGCCCACTAAGGATACCGCGGTACGTTTATTAACGAGCATCTTACTTTTATCCGTTCGAAACAATTATACATGTCACGTGAATTAGCCAAGGACGGTAAAATTATTTCGGCCTGGTCGACAGATGGTAATGTTCTGATAAAAATTGCTGTAGTCTCAGCTGGAGATGAAGTCTCCACCGAAATCGAACGAATCTCGACATTGAAATACCTTGATCTATACCGGGGCTAACAAAATAATACAAGTGTAACAAACTTTCGGCGGGATATATACAATGAAATACTGCGTATACAACGTTTATATAAATAGCAAATAGTGGAGATGACTCTTACAAACATGAATAAATATCAGTGCTGTTTAAACAAACATACTATTAATGAATGCAACCTATTAAAGTGATAATTTGAACACAAGTAACCATTATTTATTTGTATACAAACTCTCGGCGTGATGTATATACAGTTACAATAAACAAAACCACAAAGACAATTATATTCATACTTTATTTTTGTCTCATTCGTATACATACATTTTTATACATATATACAAATATTCACATAAAATCTGCATACGACCATTCTATTTAAGAATTTCAAGAGACATTATATCAATGATAATCATATTCAAGACATATTACAGTCATACTAAAATCAAATAGTTCAAGTACAATGAATATAAACAGAATATTAAAAGTAAGGTAACCATTGCTAATCGAAAAATAAAAACTGCTATCAAATTGAGAACTGTAAATCGGAGCTCTAACGCGCGTATAAAATGTTTTAAAAGATCGATTTTCATCCAAGATTAGATCTTGCATGACCTGATTAGCAATGATTACCTTAACCTAGGTAAAATACATCATCATGTTTAAAGCAAGTATAATGGCATTATTGACAAGAAAAAAAGAGCCATGTCAACATGGCCACCCACCGCCGAATGTGTTTGCTCATTGGAAGAATGTATATGTAGTAGAGCAGAATAATTCAATTTTAAGAGGTGTTTTGGTAATGAAAACTGATGGCTGAAGTGATAACAGATTTGAAACTTATGTGAATACTGATGGCTGAAAATAACAAAGGGCAATAACTCAAAAATTATGCAAGGTAGAGTTATTCTTCTTATGCACTGAACTCCTCTTCTATGAGATCCATCCACCTATGAAGTTTTAAGTTGATACCTCTAATACTTTTTGAGATATGCTCCTGACAAAATAGTATGAAAAAGAACAAAGGGCAATAACTCAAAAATTATATAGCGAAGAGTTATCATTCTTGCGCACAGAATTCCTCCTCAATAAGATATATCCACCAATGACACTTCATGTTGACATCTCAAACACTTTTGAGTTATGCTCCACTCAGGTGAAAAATTAAGTATGAAATATGACAAAGGGCAATAACTCAAAAATTATGAAATGTAGAGTTATCATTCTTGTGCACTGCACACCTCCTGAGTGAGATCTATATACCTATGAAGTTTCATGTTGATATCTCAAAAGGCATTTTGAGTTACGCTCTGGACAAAAATTAATTTTGAAAAATAAAAAGGGCAGTAACTAAAAATTATGCATGGTAGAGTTATCATTCCTGTGCACTCCTCCTCAATGAGGTCTATCCACCTACAAATTGATACCTCAAATACTTTTTTAGATATGATCCGGACAAAAATGTCGGACGGAAGGACGGACGGACGGACGTTCTAATAGGAGAGTAATAATGTTGCTATTCTATTGTTCTCTCATTGGAAGAATGTATATGTAGTAGAGCAGAAGGTATTTGTACACTTTTTTAACATACCATTAACATAGAAAAACCAGTTCTTACATGATATATTTGCTGCAGATGCAGTACAAAGTGCAACTCGTTTGTTTACTCTACAATCAAGCATATAAGACAATCTATATAAATGAATAGCAATGGATTTCCACTGTCTGATTTCTGGGGGTATCGCGACGTTAGGCGTATATCTACCGACACCTAAAAAGAAGCGCATGGCGCGAAACTGCACTACGTTAACGCACGAGTACGAGAGATAACCCCAGATAGAAGAACCATAACTGATTGTTGGCCAAACAGTAGAATCATATAGGTGGGTAAATACATGGAACGGAAGACCACCAGCCGATTTACATTTAGCAATAAGAAGGCTAAGAGCACGACTTGCACTTTGAGCTACAACCTTTGCCGTGACTTTGAAATCTAAGTGCTCTTGCAACATTAATCCCAAATACATATATCTATCAACGATATTAAGTGTGTGAACTACGGAACGTCGGTGGTTCTACTCAGGTGCCCGTTCGTCCCTGAAATAATGCACGGAAGGGCACCTGAGGTCTTCCTCCACCAGTAAGGCTGGAACGTCGCGATATGACCTATACTGTGTCGATGTGACGTAAAACCTAATAAAAAAAGTGTGTGAACACCACATATAAAACTGAACGATGTTCTACATATAGATAAAAGTCTAAAATGGATAATTTGACTTTTACTACTATTTATAAACATATCGTTGGTACTACAGCAGTTGTTAAGTGCATTTATTAAACATTGCAAATCTTTCTCATCTTTTGCCAACAAGACAATATCATCTGCATAAAGTAACATACATATTTTTAAAAGCACATATTGATGAAACTGGCAAGTGTCATAATGGCTTGTGGAAAACAGAAAATCTACAGTTATGTCGCGTATTTCGTTTGTTTGTTCTATGGTTTACTTTGTAATTGTTTGTTCCTTTCTGATCCAAAATATTGCACGTGTATAAAATTGAAAGAAACACACACATGGACCCTAAAACGCCCAAAACGTAAAAGTTGAAAATGTTACAGTCTTGTTTAAATTTTGCAGCACCACTTACCCGGTACTGCAAAATGTAAAATAGTAGTATCAAGTGCAAAGTGACAGCTGTCAAAAAGATGCCGCGTACTTCACTTCTGTGTTGTTAAATTGTCCTTGTCCTTCGGGATTATTAACTCACATGTAAGTGTTAGCAATTAAGTACCGCTTAAGCCGGTGCTAGGGTGCGTAAAGGATGTTCCATTTTTTAATTATCACTCTTGTTCAGTCTCAATTTCATGTTATTTTGCTGATTTAAATGCTTCCAGGGGGATCGTGTTTTTTAAGGTATTCATAGATGTACACATGTTTATTATGAAACTGCAAGCATTGAATGTCAAGACTGTTCAGTCAGGAGAAACATGTTTAGCATTGATACCAATAAGGATGTTTAAGTTATCATTGAACTTAGCCATACTGACGATGTTTTATGCGTTATATTATATTTCTTTTTAAATGCAGTTGTGTGTGTAAAACATTTATCTATCAATGCTGAAAATTACACTTTAACATTGATGTCTGACTTTTACAAAATTATGCATCACATTGTTAACCTGTCGGCCTATTTAATATGATACTGTGTTGTCTTAAGCGGAACTTAACAACTGTTGTTTTCGCTTATTTTGTCAATCTTATCAGTGTTTTACTGCACATTATACTTAAGTTATAAGCCACCTTTTATAGCCTTTATCTTTGTAGTAACTGGTTATATTATTAACAGTTGGATCTTTCAAATGGATGTACACGTCCTAATTGTTGGTATTTTCGTGTCTTTTTTCCATACAGGTAAATACAGATTTATATTCTGTTTATTTGTAGAAGATGATTCATTGTTCATTTATACAATACAACTTAAATGAAAAAAGGATTAATTTTGAGAACCACAACATTACCTCATTGACTAAAAAGCAAGATTTAATGAATAATATTTTTTTCAAAAGTGTCAAACAAAACTTTAAAAAGATAATGACACAGCATTCACGAACTCAGAGATTACTTTCTTAAAACATATAAGAGTAACTGAGGTATGGAAGAAGAGAGATGCAACAAATATTCCTCTCATGGTTCAACTGATTTGAAAATTATACCGTTTATCAAATACGCATATTAAACAATTTTGGCAATGTTTATATCTTACAGGACAAACATTAACGTGTCTGCAATGTAGTGGGATTTTTCAGCCTAGACACTGCCGGTCAGTGGTAGATTGTTTCGACGGTGAAGTATGTGATAAGTAAATATTAAAGATCTGCTATAATATACCTCTAGTAAAGCTAGAAAATCGCCAAATCACTGTGTTAGAGCAACGTAATATTCAACAAAAGTTATTTTTGTTTTTAATTAACACTTTTGACGAATTAATGTTACCATTTTCATGCACACTTACATATGTTTATGAAATAAGGATTTGTTTTGTTGTAAAATACGATTTTATATTTTGGATAAAATACTCCAAACCCACTAACATTATTTTTTACAACATTTGATACATCTGATAGCCATAAATAATTGATATAAGTATTGTTTGTAACATGTTAGGTATGCGGAGTTGAAAAGATGCTAAATGCTTACGGCGAGTATGTTTACAAACTTGGGTGCATGTCTTTGGCAGTAAGTTTAAACTTTATTTATGTCTCAAGGAATAGAGTATAGCTTACACTGCGCACAGTAATAGGTTTTTTTTAAGTATTTCATTTCATTATTAAGTCATCTTTATATCTACAAATGCGCAAGTTTGTAAGTTTTTGAAAAAAAAGAGAAATCTCATGGCAGCGAAAGTGAAATATATAGGACAGAGTTGCAGACTATTTTCATGGGAAGTACGTTATTGGAAGTGCAGCCCCCCCCCCCCCCCCTTAACCCGTATGCAATTTTCAACACTAAAAGCATGTTGCATGTTGGAATGTCGGTTAAAATAGTTTGTACATTTTGCATGTGTCAGATAAATATATTTGATGTTAAGAAATTCCCAGTATTGACGGAAAAATCAGTGGTGATATTAAGGGAACCATGAGTCAGCGGAAAAAAAATCAGATAATTATCTTACTCTGCAACTTATAATGATTTTTATTACGCTTACCATTTCAAATAACCATAGGAATGTTTTACTTAGATTTTAAATGTTCTGTTATTTTAAAGCCATTAAATATTGAATTAAATGTTTTTCATAACGATTTATTGATAATCTAAATGCTTTGTGTATTGTGGATAAGGAATGTGCCAAGAATTCAAATAGTAGCTTGTCATGCACACAATGTTGCAGCTCTGACATTTGCAATTCGGAAGGATGTGGAGAAGCAGGTATTTCATATTGTTTTTGTTTCTTCAAAATTGATTTTGTAGAAAATCTAATATAATCTCAGCATAAAAACACAAACATCAACTTATTGAACTCATTAAAAATGGCATTTTAATGGTCTTCCAGTTATTTCTACTTATGTATCATTTTAGTGATAAGCCTGTCCGTGGTCTGCCTTTTACCCTGTCCTGTATTTGTTTGTGTTCCTCCTGGTCTCCTTGCCACTGGTTGTTGTTGCTGGGTCGTGTTGGGGTTGCGTTCATTGAACGCCGCCTTTCCTTGTCGATCTTGTTTATCTTATTCCAAGCATTCCCTTAAAAAATTATAACATCATACACACAAATATCTGTTTTTAACTCACTTACTTTTATTTAAGGTTACCCTGTTTCCAGAGGGCCAATATGCTACAATTGTCCAGTATACAGAGATATATCCACATGCCATGATATTGACTTCTGCAAAATCGGAGAGGTATTCTTTTATTACAAAACAATTAGTTTTTACGTCATTCCCTTTTTAAAGTTTATTCAACGGCGGCCTTTTCCATTTTTTGATAAATTATTAAGATAGTGGTATTCAGTATTCAGTTATCATTCACTTATCAAGGAACATCATCTTCATAAGTTATGTCTTTATACCGGTTAAAAAAACTGGATAAAAAGTTTTTAATTACCTTTGCTGATGGCAACGGATTTTACCCATTCTTCAATGACGATTGCAAGAGTTAAACTATCTGTTATTCAGTAGGTATATTTCTTTAGTATTAGACATAAAATATGATAAATATTTTGTCCTGTTTGCAAGGTAGACAATTACGATGCTTGTCGAGGACCGTTGAGGAAGGCAATGGTATTAAAATATTAAAATGTATAATACTTAGAACATATAAATTGCCATAACTCTCTCTTACAATTCGGTTTAAAGAACTACATATTTTAACTCAAACAAATCTTGTGAGTGGTTTATTTAAATAAAAGCAGAATTGTAATAGGCATATATTGTTAATGTTATTGCCTTTGACAGGTATGCATGTTCCAGGAAACGAGGGAATTTGGAGATAGAGTTCTGAATGCTAAGTGTGCCAATCCACATGTAAGAAATGATTTCATTAAATGTCTGTACTCATACGTTATTGTTTAAATTTATCTTATACGATTTCTATAATGGTATGCCTTTTATCAATTTTCCTTATCGCGTTTTATTTATAATTTTTAAACGTGTAAAATAGCAAAATAATGTTAGATGTGTGGTGCACATGTTTGCACCCGTTATTGACAGGATGCTTCTTTGCGTTTATGATAGTTAGGGTTATTTTTTATCAATTAATTTATTTATTTTTCTTAAAAATTAAACGTTTTGCTTTTCGATTCTGATATTTCTGCTAAAAGCTTAATTATCACATAAATTATCTTCATAGCTGGTTAGTGTTCGTGTTATAAATGTTAATAACAAATATTCATTTGTTTAACTACTTGTGTTTTTTGTTGTTGTTGTTTTTTTAATAGTTAAAAGATGAACTAGTATTTAATTCCAAAAACACCCAAGAGTGCCAACAACAGCTCACTATAAAGTTATTTGTTTATGTACAAAACGCTCCAGTCTGCTAGTAAACGTTATGCTTAAGTATGCCACCTTTGTGTTATTTGTTATATCAAATTCGGATTACAGTTATAAATCAAAATTACATAGCGATGTAATTTTTTTCTTTCTTATATAGTTCACATTTTTTATATAAGCTACAAACATTTTGCGAGATGTTGTCGTTGTTGTTGTTGTTTAAATCGATGTTGTATTTCAGTATTTTAATAAACACTATGTTTTAATCATTGAATTGAGAACAGTAAAATGCTCCTTTGTAAATTGTCTGTAAAAGATGTTTATTTTGATAATGATTTCGACAATGAATACAAAGCTTATTGAATTGGCTTATAATAATTTGAAGATTTGCTCGAGAACAGCCGGAGCAAGTATAATTGGAAGGAGAGCAGAAAGCAAACAAATTGACGCTCGTACATCGGAACAGCATGTTTGTAACGCATGCTGCAAGCGTGATCTTTGCAACAAAAACTGCCAGTTCGCACACAATGGAAGTGATAATTCAGGTCAGTACTACATGCATTTTCATTTATTTTATAACGTATACAGGTTATGTCTACGTATGTTGTTACATAATCTAGCGACAAATAAATAGGTTAATCATGATCACAAGAAAGTTCCATAATTACTTTAATAACAAAGGCATAATAAATATTTGATACCGTAAAACCACAAATTTTAAATATTACTCTCTGTAATTTTCTCCTTTTTTTAGAAATATCCCAAATTTCCATAATAATTATAATCGTTATTGTGATTATTATTCTACTTTATTAAAATCCGAATACGATCAACGCGTGTTTGTTTTGATATATGATCCAATCACAAGAACGTGCTCAAACTCGTCATCAACATCATTTAAAAAAGCACACGCTGTTTAATTTATCTTAATGCTTCATTGATCAGCAATGAATTACTGGAGAAAAATTTAAGAAAATTGTGTTCACCTAAACGAGATTGTAACTGAACCTTTGAATTTAAATGTGTCCTCAGGCTCTGTTAGTTGAAAAGGGTCTCTCTGTGTCTTCTTTATATAAAACCTTAAATAAAACATATTAAGTATCTTACGTTTTATGTGCACTTTCGAAAGATTTATAGTACATTTAATCATTAGGATAATGAGTTTCATTCATGTGTGACATATTACTTTGTTGCAGGTGAGACGACACATGTAGCATCTGTTCTAAGTACAGACACAACCACTGCAACATTAAGGACATCACTACAATCAAATGCAACGATAAATAATGTATCAGATTCGACGACACCTTCTAGTCTACAAACTACGTACCCTATTATACAGACAACCGTAATAAATGGAAACAGAATTCTCGCTATTTTTGGATCTGACATGGTTCAATACATTCGTTTCAATAAAACGCGGGTCGTTCGTGGCCAGGATTGGAAATGGGGAGATCAGGTTTAGACATTTTTGTACAGTATTTTAGCAGTTCTTATCTTAAGCTTTTCCATTATTTCGTTCCCCAATGTATTTAAAATAAAATTGACCATTTAAAAATGTTATATAATAAGAAAAATGAGAATTACAATTTGCTTGCTTTGTTGTTGGCACAGGTGGCAGTATCGGTGTTTGGACACCCAACCCCTCTGCCCCTGGACCCTACTACAACCCTGCAAAAAAATTCAATACTCTACGGCTTACTATCAGGTACCAAATATTAAACCACCGATAAAACTATATAAAAAATCCACTATCAAAATTAAAGTTATAGAACGGTAAAAAGCCTTCTATATATTCATTTGCCATTTTTGTGGAACACAGGAAATCGTCGTTTAGGCGACTGAGGCGCATTCCGGCGGGATTTCGCTGCATCATTTATTAACATCAATAAAAAGAGCTAGAATACCACAACTTATATAATTCAAGTCCAACGAAAATCAATATCATTCCGGTTTGTTTCTGTTTCACGGTATTTTTTAATTGTCGTAGCTATTTTGCAGTCTGATACCCGAGTTTAAATACGCGATCTGATTGGAATAGCCAGATCGCGTTTATTGTACATGTATCAGAATCCAAAATGGCAGCGACAAGTGAAAAAATACTGTGAAACAGAAAAAAAATCGAATGAATATTGATATTGGTTGGACATGAATTAAAAAAAATATTTTTTTTCAGGGTTGTAGTAGGGGTCCAGGGGCAGATAGGGGTTGGGTGTCCAAACACCGATACTACTACCTGTGGTTGTGGGTTTTACGTCGGTTTCAACACAAAAATATTGTAATCCTACCAAACCAACCTGCCTTCTGCATAGCTTACCAGTAATTACAGACCTCTAACGACAACATTTCCGACATGATATAAGATTTAGCGGTGAAAGAAATATACAACAAGACTAACATCTGAGGATTGAACCAAATTATTATATAGCTGTACCTTTAGTATAATTATAATTTATTTTGGAAGATTCAGTGGAGTATTATGCTACATGCAATGAAACCCTTCTTTGCGTTACTTTATTTGATATAAGTTTTAGTTTTCTTATTCAATTTTAACAAAAGGATATAAACTGTTGCAATATTAATTCGTAAGAAATGTCCTAAAGAATGTATAATTTTATGACTTTATTTTAGTATTTACACTTTCAGACAAGATTAATGATATAAGCTTTTTATTTAAAAGGACTCACATGGACCAGGAACCCTTATTGGCCCGGATTCATCTATGTGGTTCAAGGTAAAGTGGGATAATGGGATAACGTTAAGTTATAGAATTGGAGCGGAAGGAAAATACGACCTTTATATCGTTTCGTTTTGAAGAATGTATGTTTGTAACAAAAATTTGCTGAAATGAATAATGTGAAATATAAGTTCTTGTTTTTCGTTGTTGTTTTTTCAACTTTATTTGAATATTTCTAAGGACACGGTAGGACACTTGCGAGAACAAAACTTTATCTTAAAGTTTGTTTCGTCTGAGAATAATTATTAACCCAGTATATGTTTGTAAGTTTCTTAAACCGCATAGATGTTTTCATTATTTTAACGTAGCTATATATTTGTATTCTCCAACATGATTAATTATGTCGATTGTTTTGTAAAAGATTGAAAAGTTTATGGAAAAAAAAGATGTTTATAGTTCTAAGTGTTATACGCTTCAACAAACTACTAATAAGCTTTATGTAAGTGTGAAATACTCAATCTATATGATATCACAGATAATAAAAATGCTTGAAAACAAACAATTGTACATCAGACACATGCTCATGCAAAATCACTTAGAACTTTATCAACATTTCTTTTTCAAGTTTATATAGTTTATATGATATATGAATATACATTTGATACATTTCTGTTGTTGTCATTTATATTTGAAGTACCAATGAAAATAAAATGCTCATTGATTTTTTTTTTTTTTTAGGGGGGGGGGGACTGTATACATTCCATAGGTGCAATTGTGAAGCATTCATTGACACAATTTGAAATCATTGGTTGAAAGCCCATTAACCCGTTTAACCATAAAATATGCTATATATTCAAATTTTAAGAGTATGAATTTTAGGAAGTATATTTCAAGGGAAATTAAGCCATTAGTATACGTGTTGAAATAATTGAACAACATCATTTCAATTATTCATGTTTTGAACAATAGGTTACCTTTATTGCCACTTTGGAATAAGATCGACAAAATGTCTGAGAAATTTTGGGTTTGTGTTGTGCATACAAATTTAAATGAAAAACAAAAATGGAGACAATGTCTTGTATATCTCAAATTTCATTATTATAAATATAAAATGGTGCACCCATATTCAATATCATTATACGAACATCTTTTTCTTTTTATTGGGAAAATGAGAACAAAAACATGATTGTTGTACTTATATAAATATATAAATTGAACGAATTCTTCGCTGACAAACAGACACAAGTGGAAAACCTTGTCAAAATACTGAATCAGTGAAAGCCTTGTGTTTGTATTACAATTCAAACGTTCGTAAAGTTAGGTATACAAGTGTAAAAATATGTGTACACAAAAAAAGATATCTCCGATCGCATCTTCACAATCTATTCCGTCAACGTCGCAAGCAAGAAGTCCATTCTTATAAACTATTTTTTTATAATTTTAGAAACCAAAAGTATAAAATTTCTTCCTGTTGTTGATATTATGTATTTGGTATTTCATTTTATTAATTCAATTATGTTTATATTATGGCATTCATTTAAATATTCAATCCCTGTGTTATTTACAAGAATTCATATTTAATTTAAATAAGCTTTACATGTTTTTTTAAAAATCAGACAAGCTTAAAATACAAGTCGATATCACAGCCAAAATAACACTGCCAGGTACGTGATAGGTTGATATATAAGAGAAGTCTATGGTATGAGTCATACTCAGGACTGGCAATCAGAACTGCGTCGTATCCAACATTTGTAAACTCTGAAACGAGTATTTGATTGATTTAAAGAAAGACACGAATGATAAAGCAATATGAACTGGGTCGTATCCACATTAATTCATAAAAATTCAGGCCCGCTTCGAGTTGCAAGTTCGCTATAAATTGTGTTTTACCAAATAATTTAGGAAGCAACATATACATGTGTATGATATACAGTGTAACTTCCAAATTCCGGAACTTCTAAAATTCGGAAACTTTTGAAAACCGAACATTTTTCAGGGTCCCGAAATTTCTCCTTCTGTTTTCTATATAATAAATACCTCTGAATTCAGGAACTTCTAAATTCTGAATTCAGAACGAATTTTCTGGTAAAATTTGGGTTATATCAAGTCAAATTTACTTCCAAAAAGGTGTGAATGAATATTATTATTAAGATAATAAAACCTTCAAAATGCCAGTTTCTTCCAATTAGCAGAAACTATTTATATTGACACCTATTAGAATCTCAACCTGTCAACCATGTCAAACACTTGATTAAAGTGTGAAAATTAAAAGATGATAATTTTAATGTGATGAAAAACAAAAATTACAGGTTTAATAGCTGTTACAACATCAAATATACTAAATAATTATACATTATGATTTTGTATCAACAAATTCTATTATAGGTGATAATAAACTTTAACATACAATGTACATAAAAGTTCAATAATTTTTCAATTTTATGAATTTAATAAGCTTCATATATTTTTGATCATGTCTCACAGAAACAATTGATATTTACTTCTGTTGACTTAACCCGGAGTAATTCAGCATAATGGTAGAAGAGGTATTTCAGGTCGTATATGAACACTATCATGAGGAGCATTCAAATGTCAAACAACAGAAGAGTAGTGAAAGTAGGTGGAGGAGGGTTTCTCAAGGCAATGGAACTTCCATCACTGCAAACATGTAAGGATACAAGCTCCGCCGAGGTCAGAGAGCGTCTACTTCCGCTGCAAAGAGACATGGTAGACTCCGACTACAAGTTTACATATGTTAATGTTGGCAGCTATGTATGTATGTTCTTTGTAGCTGTAGAAGACGCTCTCTATCAAAGAAAATGGTTACGAACCCCCTTGCTCGCTACAACCCGCAGTACTATAATTATTGTCTTGTTTTGCACGCGATATTTAGCGCTACATTGTGACGTCACGTAAACAACTCTTTAAACGTCTGTACAGCGTTAATGACTGAATTTAAGATATTTGTGTTCGGATTTATTTTCTTAGTTAGACCATTTTCTATCATTCTAGATAGTTTTCAAAACAAAATTCAACAAAAAATTAATTTGAATTTTCAGATTTTTCAAAATGGCGAAAGAAGTCCCTTAAAATAAATTTGACTCCGCCCACTTTCATATTTATATTTCATATTCATTTTTTTTTTAAAAAATGAAATATACGTGGGTTGTCCCAATATTCTGTGACAAGATTGTTTAAAAGCTAAGTAAAATAGGTACGCATCTGATATTTTATTATGTTATAAACCCATATAATTGAAACATTTTCACAAATTTACATAGAAAAATATCAACAAACAACACAAATATGCCGTAAATACCGTGGTAACTATCTGAATCGCTGCGCACGTCAAACGTCAAGGACGGCATTTCATCTACATTAGGCGCCTTTCTCAAATACTCTCAATGGCTTTTAACGCAATAATGGTGCAGCTTTAAGGTATTAGCACCCTAATGCATTACCTCCGCTTTGAAGAGTATTCGAATAGGCTAGAATTACTGTTAACTACATTGAAAATGAGGGCCATGGGTTCAATCCCCAGAAGGGTCAACTTTTTTTTTCTTTCTTTTTTCTTTTAACATTATTTATGTATCTCTCATGTCACATATAGAAAGAAAAAAGTGTTTAATTTTGAATTTTTAATTTATATAGGTATTTATTGGCTAAATTATGCTAAATCTAATAATAAATATGGTACCTGATATTTTCAAAGTGTAATATAATCAAAACTAGACGGTAAAAGTATTTCATATTTTACAAGATCAACCAATATACTTTTTTAAAAATTTAGGGAAACTTTGAAAACAGGCACTCAATTGGGTAAATATTAAGATTTTTTTGAATTAGGCTCCCTAAGTAGAAAAATGGTCAGACATGGGGTAAAAATGGGTGGGGTAGGGTAACATTTTTATACAGATTTCATAAATTTTAAGTAGAATCCATAATTTTGCTTATGTGGATTGTTAGCTATTTGTTTCTTACCAAAAATTCATGGGAAAACATTTTTCATTAGAATGTTATTGCAGATTATTTAAAGGTTCCTCATTTCTAAAAAAGGGCCCTCATAACATCCTAGCTTGAGTTCAGAAAAGTGGCCATAACTTGATTTACGTACGGTAAACTTTGTTTAAATTTTGCATACAGGTGTACTTTAAGGTATACATCTGACCTATGATGTCAATTCTTTAGTTCCTGATAGTGTCCATTAGGGTCCTAATACCTTAAGTACAAACTTAAATCACGTGGTTGTTAATGTCTGTAGAGTGTTTGGATGACATACATTGATTTTTGTTACCGGCAAACTTCCGGTCTCGGTGCACCTGCTTATAGGCGACAGAGATCGGTCTTCCTATCCGTATTTTCCTTATTTTCCCTTTTTGTAGTGCAGACCGCTGGTTCTGTTCATGTCTTTAGTAAACAAATGTTCAGGATATGTTGCTAAACTCTTCTATTTGGTGTATTTGTTGAAAATCGTAACATATGTCATCTCGAAATAGTCACGAAACCTGAGTGACGTATTCACTGCGCCGCAAATTCTTCGAACGTCGTCATTTTAACTTTCCTATTTTCTATGAGATATTTTCATTTATCCGTAACTTGTTCGTTTCCAAAGTTATTTAACTAAATTTTCTCTGAGATGATTTAAACATAGCAGCAGATGAAGTCAACCTGACATTGTGCAGACACATCATCA